CCATTCAGCGGCCCTGTGTCTTCTTTTTCATAGGCTGACAAACGGGTTTTAAGGTGAGTTACTTACCCAATTTCCCACCAACCTCTTGACCAAGTTGGAAAGGAAAAATCCATTGAGAATTTCTAATGTGCAGTTACTCAAACGTATTTCCTACAGCTCATATAATACTAACTCCAGTTCACTGTAAAACTGTTTATAATCTGCCAGCTGCTTTAAAATATATTCACATTTAAAAGTAACAATGACATGTGAAGTAAGAGACTCAGCAATAGAAAATTTTGCTAGACAGGTGAGAATGGATGTGGCAGGGGTGAGGAGGCTGCAAAGAGGAGGCAGGGTCTGTGACTAGAGTGAGGGACCTAAAACGTCACTGGTTCTCGGGGGGCAGCAGAAATCTAGTTATAAAAATCAAAAGCGGCCCTTTTATAAAAGAGTTTATCTGTACAAGGGAATAACTAACAATAGGGGTTTATTGAGGACAACACGAGCTGATTTATTTAAAGTGCTTGTATTGGGCCAGGCACATATGACCTCATGCAGTAATTATTATCATCTAGTAAAATTAACAGAAAAATAAAGAAGGGTGCTAATTAAAGGTAATATTTAAGAACCTCTTCACTGGACAAATCTTTTCCTGGGAACCTGCTTTCCCTCTGAAAATGGAAGGATGCTAAAGAAAGCACTGAAGAAAACAAATGTATTTTTACCGAGTGAAATAATTTCAGGCAAAAAATAGGGTTCGTATGTTAACAATTTAAGAAATATCATGCTTAAGAAATGCAATTCTCAAAGTATTTATTTCATTGTTCTAACTTGCATGTAGATCCAGAAAACTAAGTGGCTTAAAAAAGAGACATTTGGGAAAAAGGAGAGTTGCAGATTTCCAGAGAAAATTAAGATTCTATGTCCTTTGAAGCAAATGGTTACACTGTCTGCTCTCTGCTGAGCATGGAATTTTTTCGCAGGCTACCTTGAAATTCCTAAAATCACTCAGGAATTCTCTCTGCAGCCCACTGAAATAGTAAAACTCAGTCTACAGGTTCTCTCTAATGAAAGGTGCATCTAAATCATCGTGCAGTGTTCCAATTTTAACGTGGAATTCCCAACTCCAAGAGCTTCCCCTCAGCACCTCCCTCCTCTGGTCTTCCTTGTTGGCCCCTTCATCCCATCTGACCCAGATGCATCGCACCTGCTTCCTAAACACCCTCTTGCTTCATCCTCCTGCACACAATTCAGTAGATTCTCCTAACTCTTATTTTTATTGGTAAACGTCAAAGTTAATAAAATAAAAGGCAAAAAGAAGATTAAAAAAACCCCAGTATATATATATATATATAGATATATCTATATATCTATATCTATATCTATATCTATAATGTATCTATATATAAAAATATAAAAAATATATATCTATATATATCTATATATATAAATGTATCTATATCTATATATAAAAATATAAAAAGAGAGTTTCCCTTAGGTTTCTACTCCCTTCTGGAACTCATTTCATAGACAAGGTAGGACAGGCAGAGATAACTTGGGCATGTGTCCTCTGTGAAGAAAAGTGACTTTAAAAATCTTTGGTGCTTTATTAGACTGGACCATAGCCTGGGATTCTAAACCCTGGGGTCCATGATAAAATTCAGAAGCTAGGCCTCAGACTCTGAATTTGTAAGAATTTCCTCTATGAATTGTGTTGTGTGTGATTTTTAAAAAACCATTAACACTGTTCAGAATTCTTAAGAGGCTAAAACCAAACATTTTCATATATTTTCTCAATTTTAAGAATCTCGGGGCCATGCTTCCTATCTAATCCATGACCCCGCGAGTTAAAATCAAGGGCAAAAGGTCATCAGACTTCGTGTGTGTGTGTGTGTGTGTGTGTGTGTGTGTGTTATCCAGTCTCGATCTATAAACCAAGTGGAGAATGGCACACAGCCGGCACCGCCCTGCCACACCCCTGCAGCTACTCTGACAGGTCTGTCAGAAGCAGGCCAGCCATCAGCAAGACTGCAGGAACAGGACGGGGAGCAGGCAACTAGAAAGGGGTCAGAAGAAAACTGGAACTGAAAGTAAGGAGGGAGCAAGGATGAGGGAATACACGGGGGGGGAAGGAGCAAAAAAGAAGAGAAGGAAGAGATAAAGAGAACAAAGAAAGGAAGAGAGGAGAAACAGGCAGAGAAAACAATAGGGCTGGACCTCTACGTCGTAAGCATGCATTTTCTTTTTCATTCTGTGTCCCAAAGAGGGTGTGAAGGTATCTGAAGTTATCTGGGTAACCAGCACACAGGGAGACGCCTGGGTGTGGCAGAAGGCAGTATAAACACAACGAGATGACACCATTGGGTTTGAGCAGGACGGAAAGGTATCTTTCACATTTATGTACTATTTATACTTTTAAGAACTTCCATAAGGCAGTCCCAGCCCACAGGCTGACTGATCTCCAGATAAAATCAATTTCCGGACCTTAGACTCCCAGTTTTTTTAACCCTGTGAGGACCTCCTGATTGCTATGAGTAAGGCAGAGCCCATTCTAGGGGATTGGCCCTCCAGCACCACCACATGAAAATGTCTCTGACTGCCTGCTCTCCCCGAGGACTGCAGGGCCTCCTGTGAGAGCTGGAGGGCTACACGGCTCCCAGATCAGCTCACCTCTTAAACTTCGCAGTCTTGGGGAGAAGACCTGAGAGCCCATGGGTGCCACTGCTCAGTGGAAGAGAGGGCATTAAAACAATATCCCCATCGAAGTCAAGCCAAGTCAAGCCAAGCAGAGCCAAACCAAACCAAACCAAACCAAACCAAACCAACTCTCTGATTTGGGAATGTAATCATATAATACCTACTTGGCAAAAAGTGTATGGTTGGCTATAGAACAAAAAGCCAATCTGAATCCAAACGATTGCCTCTTAATCCCTTAATTAGACTAAGTCCTTCAGAAGGAAGCACGATTCATTGTTACTGAAGGAAATCAAGAGCAAATATAGACTGTGATGTGTCTACATACATGTGCACACACACAGCCTGATGGAGTCACACAAATATAAATCAACACTCACGGTGAAGGGTTCAGAGTCTAGAACGAAATTTATTTGTTTATGAGAGCCATGATTTGGAACAGTAAAAAGTTCTTTTGGGAATACGATTTGGGGAAAATGTGGTGAGAGGGCGAGACGCAGCAATCCACGGGCATGTTAAAAGATGTGCACCAGCTCTTGGGCGAACTCTGCTCTGACTTCAGGCCAAAGGTGTCTGTTTGCCCGGCAGCGCCCTGCCATCTGAGTGGTGGGAAGGCCCTGGCTTGAGAGAATTTTATTTGGAACCTTTCTTCTTTTTCTTCTTCCTTTTCACTGGAGTTTCATCTAGCGTAACATTCACTGCTGCCTCAACTTGCTTCTGTGGCTTTTTCTTTTCTCTCCTCTTTTTGGGCTTTGGTGGTACGTCCTGGTCACCAAGTGGCCACACACAATGCATTCCATCCTCAGCAGAAGCATCGGAATTCTCATCCCAGTGAGGGTCTCCAAGCTGCTGCTCAACTTGGTCTCTCTTCTTCTTGGACTTGGGTTGGGTATAACTCTCCACATTTTTATCTTTTGCCTCTTTCTTTCTTTTTTTCCCCACTTTCGTTTCCCCTGGGGTCTCTACCCCTGCAGCCGTCACCTGTGGCTTGTTCTTTAGCTCTGCCATCCGCTTGGCAAAGTACTCCTGGATGGTGAAGGCACTGGTTGTCGTAGTGGAGGTTTCGTTCTCATCTGGAGTGGCGGGTCCGGAGTCATCCTAAGGTGTGGGAACAGAGTGAAAGCCGGTTAAGCATCAGCATCCTCAAAGCGCCCAGGAAGACTCCAGCTGGAGCCACTTGCACTCAGCAGTTAAGAGACCCAGCTGAGTGCCCAGCTCCCGCTCAGTCGATCCCCCTCCCCCGCCCCGGGAGAGCTGAACTACAAAGCATAGAACCAGGTGGCCAGACACTTTGGTTGAACACTATATGGGGTGGCAGGTTGAACAGACAGGAATCTACCTTTAGAAGTTAGCTGGCAAGTCACCTAAATGAAATTCTGAGTAAACAGCGCCTTTGCAACAATGTTACAAATGGCAATTAAGTTCTCAGTACCCCATGAAAAACAAGCACAGGAAGTCCTCCAGCTTTGTGATTTTTGTCAGACACCCATTTCAACCGTTATGGATCACATAGGTCTTGGTGCATTGACCTAGAAACTTAGATGTGACATGTATATGTTATTAAGCCTTCCTATATAGCAGGAGCCAAGTGCCAACCTGACACCTGGAGTGTCAGGGACACCTTCTTTCTCCTCCAAAGGCAAAGCGTGGCTCCCTGGCAGCCGCTCCAGGAGAGGAGGCACCAGGGTTGGAAGCACGTGCATCCCATTCTCCAGCTCAGCATGGGGAGAGCAGCTCAGCATGGGGAGCCCTCCTTCCCTGGGCTGGCCTGGATGAGATACTCATGGCTGTTAGTCTTGCTTCCAAATGGGAGGAAGTACTCATACAGCTGAGAGTAAGTGTGGTTTACATTTTAATTTTTAATAAACACATTCCACTGGGAAGCTTGAGAAGCAAGAGAAAATCCCTACCAGGTTGGGATAAAAAATAAAATGCTGGCATCACCATATGGGTTGTGGCTGGCTGGCAGGAAGGTGATGAAAACATGCATGTAGAAAAGGGAGTCCCTTCACGATGAAGAATATAAGGACTATGCTTTAAGGAAAGCCAATGTCTAGAATAATTGTCAAGAGACTTAAAATAATTAAGCCATTAAACAATAATGCTAGACTTAGGTTTTCATAAGAGACTGGGTGTTCAACCCTCTCATGTTGGGAGAGTGGGAAAACTGTTTTCTGAATAAATCAGTTTCCAAATTAGGATTCTACAAATTATTCTGAACTTGCCAGGAAAAGTTCTAACTTTATTACAAACCAATGCATATAAATGAGCCATACATTTTCTTGATACAGAAGCACTGAAAAACCAGCTCAGTGGAGTTAAAGTAGCATCACATTTGAAATTCTGGCAGCATCAATATTATATCAATGGACAATGGGGCTTTAAGTGGCCACTGCCCCAGACAGCTCTCACCAAACAGAGCCTTACCAACAACATCACAACTTATCCAATCAACACAAACCTTATTTTACTCAGGCCTTAAAAAAGCCCCACAGGGCCGGCCGAGTGGCGCGATGGTTAAGAACTGGCTTGGGACGCCAGAGGGCCCCGGTTCGGATCCCACATATGAGGGCCAGTGACACTGCCCTCTACAGCTAAGATGCTGAACAACAGCTCATCCTGGAGCTGGGCTGCTGTGAGTCGCCGGTGACGGGGTAGGCTGCAGCCTCTGTGGCAGTGGGTTGCCATGGGCTACCGTGTGTAGCCAGCAGCCAGCATGAGCGGCCGTCCAGAAGCTGGCGACTGATCTGTCTCGCCCGGGAAGAGCGCAATGATGGTGCCAACTTGGGCCAGTGAAGCAACGTCCTCCACAACTAGACTGAATGAAGAACAAAACGACAACAACTTGTCTGTTCCCTTTCCCCCAATTCCCCAGCACTGTTCCGATCTCCCCAATTGCCCAATAAAAATCTTTAAAAAAAACAAACAACAACAAAAAACCCCCGACAAAATCACGTGGCCAAATTTTAAAATTTCAGAATGTAAAAGGCAGACCAGGTGGATAAACTAACTGAGCTTTGGGGAAAAGCTTAAATGTTATTTAGCAGCGTTCAATTTTGGCTGGAATCCCATCAGGTACTTCTGAGAAAAATTTTAAAACAACTGTCCCAGGAGACAAAAAAAAGGTCACTGTGTCTTTCTGATTCTCCAATGTTGAAAAAGAGCTGAATTTTGGCATAGCGGATTGGAAAATCTTCTCAAGGCGCTGGGTTCGAGCCAATCCCAGTTTGATGGACAGGAAGGTCTTGCCTTCCATTTACGAGCACATAGCCAGCCAGAGACAGTCTCTGTAAAGGTGGCCTGCTTATGTAAAATAGGTCTTACTTAGTTTCATGGCATTGAAAGGAGTTTGTCTTACATGTGTCCTAGAAACTCGAATTCAAGTTTTACCTTATGGCTCGTTACTTTGCTCACCTATTATTACTTTCTGAATTCCTGCTTTTCACCATTAAATCACAGAAACTAATTGCTGATATTAATCAGACTTTTAATTACTAAGAAACACAAGAGCAAATTTGAGTCACTTGTTGAATTCAGAGGGCCTTTCTAATCCCAGAAAATAACCAGGCTCATAATCAAATTCTCCGGAGATAAGGATTTTAATGGGCCACTGCACACCGAGCTTAGCAGGGCATGGAGACAAGCAAGAGAGGTGCCAGCACCTGAATGCTACGGATCCGGAGGAGAGTCTAGACAGAACAATGACTTGCTGGGGAGAGCCCGTTAATGCCAGGGCAGCCACCCTCCCACACTACAGCCATAAGTCTGCTTTAAAAAACATGGACACGAAGGAGGAATGGGTTACGAATCTGATTCCAGTAGAAGCAAAGCCCAGGACTCATATTTTATAAGCTCATAATTTATGATTTTATAAATTTTACTATAGTAATTATAATAGTGATTTAGTGATTTATGCTATAGTTTTACTATAGTGATTATAGTCCCTGTTTCTATATTCTTGGCCATGCATATAAAAAAATGTACACCTTTTCAAGAAAACTAATACTTATCATATCTGGCCTCAACTTCACAGTGCATAAGCACTAGAGAAAAGCACCAGTTACTTTTTTTTGTATTTTGAAATAGAGAAAATTTGCATCTTCCCACATTTCCATTCAACACATAATACTGCAAACAAATAAAAAAACCTGTAATACCAAATGTGACTTTCGTTTGCTAACAATGTTCTAAAAACTAGAAAAATAAATTTACAAATAACCTGAAAACTTGCAGTTCCATATAAAATAGTACCAAGGGGGTTGTGGTTAATGAATTGTCTTAACAAACATTTGATTTCAGCTGAGAGATTCAGGAATCTCTTTTTTAAAAAATCCCAGTCCTTGCTGTTAACTAGAGGAGGTCCATAGGTAAATCTCATAACCTCTCTGGGCCACAGTCATCTAGTCAAGTCAGATCAGTAGGTTAAAATAGGTGGCTTCTTCTGAGGTCCCTCAAAGGCTTAAAATTACTGATCTCTGAAAAGACATTTGGGCTGGCCGTTCCTCTGTGACCCAGGTAAGCAGAGAAGGAATAGTGAGGCGGTAGAAGCAGGCAGCAGAGATGAGCTTGGTTCAGAGGAAATATCACCCCACTGTCAAACCAAGATGCAGAAGTGACACCAGTGCACCTACAGCCTACCTACATGGAAAATATGTTTTTACACCACCTGTCAGAAAGCATACAGCCAAACAGCCCATCCAGTAATACCACTTTGGAGAGCTGAAAGAGCCAAATACTAGTCTGTATGGAAGCATTTTTAAAGAATTTGTTTAAAAGAGTCAACCCTATACAGAGGCTAAAACCAATAAAAACAAAAAACTGGAGTTACTATTCATTGGAATATGAATTTATTTCAAACCTAAGTCCTGGAAATCATCCTAGTACTTCTAATAAAGGTGGTAAGAAGCTAGAACTTTAAAAAATGATCATAAATCCTCATCTTGTAGTAACGGTTTTGAAGGTGCTCTGTTTATGTACCTTGGCTTGAAAATCTCCACGGGTCCTTCACAGCCCCTAAACTTGTGTCCTCAAGCGCCAGGGCACGGGGAAAATGCTAACGATGCTCTCGTTAACAATGCTCTGTGGGGGCTCCGGGAATAAGTCACCTGGCAAACTCTCCAGTGGCTTTTAGGCCACCACAGTCTAAGATCCTGTAAGTCCTGCTCAGATACCAAGATGTTTATAGCTGTCTAGTAACAGCAGATGCAAGGAGAAATGTAAGCTTTTACTCGGGGACAGTGAAGGATAAAGGTGGGAGAGTCTGTATGAGTGGGAGCAAGGGCTCTGCCCATGGCAACCCCCCAGCTTTTTGCTGACCATGGTGTCCTGTCACTTCACAGGTCTCCTCATTCAGCTGGGGCAGAGACATGTCACATGTAACTGTGCATGTCTAGGATCTAACAGTATACCTAAGACAAAGCAGCTTTCCAAAGAAAGAGTTCAGTGGACGAGGAGGAGAAATGGTAAGGCAAGTAACAAACCAGTTTTAAAATTCTCTCCCTGGATTTGTAATATAGCCATTGTTTACCTCCCCTTCCATACATTAACAAGAAAGACCCAAAGGCACAGCTAGACTCCTGAAATATGTTCCATGCATTATAGAAACTACTCTTTTTAAAATACAAAATGAAACCGTTTCTTGTGTTGTTCTTAAAAATGGTTTCATAGGTTAATCTTGTCTGTTCTCAGAAAACCTCAGTCTTATTTCTTTCAGAACCAATGAGTGTATAGGATGTGTTAAAAAACATTTGATGATCGATTTCCTCAAACGATAGCGAGGGCGGCCTTAATTTCTACCTGACCAGTAAATATTCTGTGGGTTAGAACTTGGCAGGACCTGTTCCCCACTTCACAGAACCTCAACGTTTAGTTTAAATCCAGAAGAGCCCTTCGAGATTGCTTTGCTTTATCACACAAAGTGACCCACATGGGTGTACTGAAGAAAGCAGCTGTCATTGCTTAGATGCCTTCAACGTGCCAGTCACTTATTATCATACGTCATCTCATGCGACTCACAGCAACCTCAGCAGACGCATCCTCTCTACTTTACAGAGACGGAAACTAAGACTGAAAGCATTTCACATGCAGGTCTCATGACG